GCCCCGGGGACCTTCCTAATGCCATGGGAGGATGCTGTAATCATGAATGTTACATCCCATGGGGACATAGACTGGGTCCCAAAGCCAATACTATAACCTTGAATATTCTTAATATTGATTCATTTTCTCATGATCATGAGAGACAGTGTGCAGCCTCCAGGCAGCAGTTCCATGTTTAAAGTTAGATGAAGGGTGGAAGCAAGGAGCTCAGTCCTGAGATCTGTGGATTTATTGCAGGAGGGAGACATCATTCTCATTAGGAAGCAATCTTGTTTTACATGTGGAGAGGCTGAAGGACCAAGTGGAGGGACCATTCACCAATCTTTCTGTAGGGTAGAAGAAAGACTCCTTCGTTAGATCTGGTGTTATTTGGACAAAATGGGATCTGGTTATCAGAATCTGAAAGGAAACACCTATAGTCCAGGGAGTGGATAGGACAATGACTTTGCTTCTGACCCCTGGAGCCCGTGCCTCAAAGGAGGTAGGAGGTAGAGCAGGAGCAGGACAAATTGCTTTTACTGGATGTTTTGTGGGAAGCTGAGTCCCAACGTGATACTATGTAAGGGACCAAAATTAGACACCATTTAGAGTAGATTTGTTCCATATAATATGTGCCATTTACAGAATTCTATAGAACAAATCTCTCCAAATTGAAGGGTCTTATAATGGCATTTATTTCTCACAGTGCCTATGGTTCAAAAATCTAGGCTCAGAGTTTCAGATGAATTCACTGGAGCTACAGGGCTGAAGGCCCCTTTGCAGGTAGAGACTCATGCACACAGCCAACAGCAACCACTGCCTGTGGCGGAGCCAGTAGGTGTATCAAGATACTTCAGTGTCTTGGCGAAGTGGTGGCCGGCTTGCCCCAGGAACCCTAGGAACTAATGCTGGAGCAGCAGTGCTGGTTGCCCTGCCTCAGCAGGCAGACACATTCTTTCACAGGGGTCCACAGGTCAGCCATATTCACTATGAGGGAGGAATACATGAGGATATAAGTGCCAGAACATAAGGCAATAGCAGACAATGGGAGCTAGCTGCCCCCCAAAATAGCCACACAAACTACTCAGACTCCAGTCTCAGTGGATGGTTTATTTGAACACCTCTCCAAGCTGATCGATCAGGGCCACAGTAAGGACTAGGCAGTCTAACTGTGACATCTACAGGTCTCACAGCAGGGTTTTTATAGGAAAATAACCAAATGCAAAAGACATGGTGAGGGCAGTACAAAGCAATCTTACATTTTTGGCTAATTAGACAAAGTATTATCAGCTAACCTTTAAGCTGATTGGTTCTAGGTGAGGTGAGTCTTCCAGAGTGCAGCCCAAGTGCAACTGAGTGCAACCAGGTGTATAGATAACTGAGTGCAGCCAAAGTGTAGTAACTATGTAGATAACCAAGTATGAGTTATTTGTCTCAAATAGCAGGCTACAACATGGTGAGGAAAACAGAGCTGTTCTGATAGCTTTGAAAGGAAATGGCGGGATGCAAGAATGGTTGAAGAAAGGCCCAAGGTTTTGCTAAGCAAGTACCATCTAGGAAGTCATGCTGGTTTGGACATGTGGTATCATTTGTATATCAGACCAAGAGAGCACTGAGGAGGAGCCGTTTCCATCAGTTCCAGCTCAGCCTCCCTCAGACCACGGGTTCCTCAGGTGCTGATGCCACGCCACTTATCTGTGTACTGCCTGAAACATGGGAAGTGGCTGATGGAGCAGAAGGTCCTCACAAGCATCGCTGGCAGAAGCAGAGATGAGGAGAGCATCATCCCTGACTTCAGGGGAACTTTACCCATTAGCATCTTTCATTACCATCTTTGCAAACCCCTACTGGCAGCTTTGCCATCCTGGTGAGCAGACATGAGTAATGCCCAGGATAAACTCAGAGAGTAGTTATGCCAAAACCTGGTGTTATAATGTTCCGGGCTAGACCAGCTCATCTTGCCTCCCTCATTTTCCCTGGATATCAGTAAGCAGTAGCTACAGCAGGAACGGGGTGGAAGGATTTGAATAAAAATGGTCCCCATAGACTCATAAGAAGTGGCATCATTGGAGGTATGGGCTTTATGTAGTAGGTGTGATCTTGTTGGAGGAAGTGTGTCACAGGGGATGGGCTTCAAGGTTTCAGAAGCTCAAGCCAGGCCTAGTGTGACTCTGTCTTCCTGCTGCCTGCTGATTCAGATGTAGAACTCTCAGCTACTCTGCATCACCCTTATCTGCCTGCATGTCACCCATGCTTCCCACCATGATGATAATGAAGTAAACCTCTCAACTTGTAAGCCAGCTTCAATTAGATATCTTCCTTTATAAGAATATGGTGAAGGTGTATATGGTGTATGTGCAAGCGCACGTTTGTACATGTAGAGGTAGAGGAGAATGCTAGGCATCCATGTCCTCATCTATTCTCCTCCTATTCTGTTGAGAGCACTGAGCCTGGATCTAGGCAGTAGCCAGCATCTTCAGTGATCCTCTGCCTCTGCTTCCAATAACACTGGGATTCCAGGCACACGGAGATGGTCATGCCCTTATCTTTTCTTCCAGTGCAGGTGCTAGAATCTGAACTTAGGTCCTCACGTTTGCACAAGCACACTCACCCACTGACCAACTAGGCCATCTTTCCAGCTCTAAAGGTGCATCCTTTCTTTTTTTCCTAGCCCCATTTTTTTTGCTTTTGCTTTTTAAAAGTAATTCTTTTGTTTTTGAGATTACAGTCACTTCATTTACCCTTTCTTCCCTCCGTATGTTCCCATAAAAGCTACCTGCAGCAGTAGCAGCCTGTGTGCATAATGACTGGGATCAACTAAACCATCAAATCTATGGCCTGACAAAGGGGATGATAGGTTTTATATCACTTGACTTAGTTCAAGATACCATATATGGCAAAGGGCCAGGTATGATTAGGTTCAGTTTCTTAACTCTCTGACCCAGGGAGAAGAGAAGAAAAGAGTGACATCTGAAACTTAAGAGTGTTACTTAAGGGGCAGGCCTGTGTTCTAACACCATAATTTTACAATAACACTAAAAACATACAGAATATCAATTCCCCTGGATTTGTCTAGTCACCTAAAATAGGGGTAACTGAGTGACTGAGAGGAAGGAATAAACATGAAGATGTGTGAAATAATTCATGCTGCAGTAAAATCCCATGAGGGTTTGGAAAGATGAACTCTAGTTGTTCACAATTGCTTCAAGACTCATAGACTGGATAGTCCTTACTGTACTGGCTCTGAATTCTATGCTCAGATAGCAGACCACTTCATGATCAGACAGGTGATGCAATTCAGGTGTGGACTAATTTCTTTTCTACTGCTGTGGTGACACCATCACTACCACAACTTATAACAGCAAGCATTTGAGCTTAAGGTTTCAGAGGCTCCATGATGGTGGAGCAAAGGTGCGGCAGCAAGAACAGCTGAGAGTCTATACCCAAATACACAAATAGAGAGCAGAGAGAGCTAACTCAAGAGGGATTGCCTCAGGGGACATACTTAATCCAGAAAAGCCTGACCTCCCAATCCTCTCAAAACAGCCACAAACAAGACCAAGTATTCAAATGTATGAGCCTATGAGAGACATTCTCTTAGGCAGCTTATGGCTGGTACCAGATGTACTCAGGTTCCCATTTCTTTGGCACTATGACCCACAGTGCTCACTTGCCCTGCCCTGAGAGAGAACTCTCAGGTGACCTGTGGCAGACACATGGCACGGATGAATAAGAATTTCAGTTATATTAAACCATTGTTGGGAGTGGTTACTGCAGAATATCATGTTCTCCTCCTGAAGAATATTTTCATGATGTTTGTCTTCATAAAATGTGACTATCACATTGTCTGTGGGGCAGCTGTTCTATTAAGTTGATCAATACGCTGTCTACTGGACTGAATTTACCAATGACTACTACGTTACGTCCTAAAATCCAAGAGGTATAAAAAGATGTAGAAACCACAGCAAAGACATTTCAAACCAAATAATGAGAGATTACTGTCTGGTCTGTACAGAACCTTGTCCCTCCAAATTTAACTCCAAAGCATTGACAAACAAACAAACAAACCTAATGTGCTGTGAAACTAAAGTCTGTTAGAACTGGAATCTGCACCTAAAAGACAGTGTTCCCTCTTAAATGGTTGATTCTCACAGCCTGAAGATGAAGCAATGTCTCCAGAACTGTATGGAAATTTAATTAAATTTGTACATGTAACTCTTTAAGGAATTCTAATATCTTGGAATATAAGAATCCACAGAGGTTCTTCCAATGCAAAAGGTATACTAAGAGTAACACTAACACACACACACAGTCAGAGGAGGGATTGTTTCCCAGTTTTAAAACCAATGTTTGCCTCATTTTGTTTTTTTCTTTAAAGACATTACAATGTCTTTAAATCATCAAATCAAAGCAAGTTTGGGCCTTTTGCTGGTACTATCCACATGAGAACAATGGCCACTTTCAGCCACTCCATTGGTCTACAAATGCTTTGGTGACCAAAAAGCAGCTTTAATACTTCACTGAACCCTGAGAAACACAAAATCAGAGTCCAAAAATCTCTCTGGGTTATTATTATTATTTTGATACAATGTATCCTAAATTTAAATATCAAATTACATTATCAATTTCCACTCAAAGTCAGGGACAATACTGTAAAGCAAGTATCTAACTAATTGTACGTGAAACCTGATTAGTAACTTACATTCTAATTGTATCTAATTGAAAACGATCCCATTCATATTTCCCTCTTCTGACCCTGGATGGACGCTCCTTTTGGATGATATAGTCATTAGTCTTCCACCTCCCCAGGCAGCACCCTTTATAGCATTAAGCTAGGACACAAATGATTGGAGTTTTAAAAGGCTGAACTAACATACAATAACTCCCCAAAGGAACCTGCCTCCTACAGAGGCAACTTAAGACAGAGAAAATACTGCCGTTCTTCTAAGACAGAACTGAAATAATGTAACCAATTAAAAGAACATATCCTTGAAGAGAATGAACAAGCACATAAAACTACATTCAGATAATCTAGGGTTTTATTTTCATAATTGTCTTCCTTCAGATATAATCATCTAATTTCCATTAACAACATATTAATATTTTACTCACCAAAAAGCTGGAAAAATATAATGCACAGATTCCATACACAAATACCGCATTCTGCATATTTACAAATTCAATATATTAGATGTGTTCTGTTGACTGACTTCACTTACTATATAACAGCACTAAACACTAGATGACTCAGAGTAGATCATGCACTTTCACTTTTGTGGGGAGGGTGCCAGCGTTCTGGGAAACAATTCTGCTTGTTGTAAACACTAAGTTTTCCACTTCTGACTAAGCTCACAGGAACGAAGACTTAATGCAAGTAGAAAAATAAAATATGTACTCATGGAACAAATGCTCCTTCTGAGATACCACACAGAATAACCCTGACGTAAAAGTGAGCTCTAAAACCTGCATGCTGGGTCCTCATGTAGGCGGGGTGGGTGTGCCAATGCCTAAACACCTCTGCTGTTTAAAACCAAGCGCAGCACTGCTCCACAACGCACTACTCGTTGTTGTTTTGTTTATGGTGTTTCTAAGTAAAACTGATCCCCCTCAAGGCTTTATTCAATAACCTGGGCCATAAAAACAGTCTAGTAATGTTTGAGTACTGTCAAATCTGCTAAATAAACTCTCAAATAAGCACCAATGTTTCTGGTTGAATCTAAAGGTAAATGCAACATTGATACCATCTTTAAAATACCAAATTACTTTTTAAATAAAAATTCTAAATGCAACTTTATTCATAATTTCAATGCAGTTAAAGAAGAGGAGCTGGTGACATGAAGAACTATGCAGGTAACTCAGGGGAAAGCCTAAAACTTGCACATCAGACTTGCAACCTCACAGGGACTGTGCAGGGTCATCCACCCACTCAGGCACACCTGGCAGAGTTGTGCCCTCCTACAACTCTGGAACGAGTACCATATTGATGCTTTTCCTAGATTCTGGAAATCCAGAAAAACTAGGCATACTTTATACATATAAGTTAAAGTACAAAGAGTCAGCAGTGAGGCATGGTGACAAGAATATTCCGGCCAGCAGCATTGCCTACCCACACTACTGCTCCCAAATTATGAGACGGGTCTAAGCAATACAGGAAAAGAGCAATGCTTCAACACTACCTTTTAGGAAATAACCAAGGCAGGTCTATGAGGTGTGGAAAGACTGGCAACCCAGTCCTAAATGTATGTCATGCAAAGCCATTTTTGTTCATTCCGGCTCACTTTTTACTTTTTTGTAATATACAGCACAACTCATGTTAAGTTATGAAGTCCAAATCAAAATTACTTTGGTGGTAAGAAATGCATGCATACTAGATTGGCAGGAACATTACCTGTCATTCTGGACTTGTACATGGTTCTAATTAGTCCCATTTTGGTCAAGAGCCAAATAGGCTTGAACACAATCAAATTTTTTGTTGTTAAAAAAAAAAAAAAAAAAAAAAGCCAATATGTCAGGGAGGGCTGAAGACAGTTACAGCATCACTTTAATGTTACCTTCCACATTTTGTAGTCACATGTAAGAACTACTGAGCTAAATATTATAAAGCTTTTGGCCCAACCTTGTCTCTGAAAAGACTCAATAATTTGAGTGTAACTAATATGATGGTGGAGAAATGTCCTCTTCAAAGTGAGACATGCCCTCCCTCCACTGAAGCATTTTATTTATTCATGTTTTATATCCCTAGAAAAAGAAGCCCAGAATTTTCCCTCCTGTGCTTTTGTCCTGCTTTTTCACGATCCATGATGCCAGCTGAGGCTACTGGTACAATGCAACCAATCTGACAAGACTGGAAAGGAGGATTGTGCCATTTCTAGGTCTTTAAGTAGCACATCAAATCTGGAGCTGATACTTGACGCTCGTTTACACAGCCTGTGAGGGTGACAACCATGTTCCCCGCTCTGTGACCATCAGGAATCACATCACCACTTTAAAGGGTGACCATACATCATCCCACAGTCAGACACTGGAGTACACCTGCTGAAGACCTGCTGATGCCTCATCTCAAGGCATTGTTGATGCTCTCTTGATACCTTAGGCAGAACATACATGGGCACCATGTGACAACATAGGAAAATGGTGGAAAGAACCAGACCAGTTTTGAAATTATTATTTCTAAAAAAAAAAAAAAAAAAAAAAAAAAAAATAAATCATTTTAGAAGTGACACTAAATAAAATGCAATGAAAATTATCTAAAAATAAATTACAAGAACCCAAGAGAAAAGAGTAAGTATGCCTATTTCCTGCTTTGCTTATGATACAATTTGTCTGGAATTTGGCCTATACATTTTAAGATCAATTATTAAAATATGACAGTGTACTTTCTGCTTACAACAGAAAGGAAAAATGCTTCCCAGGCAGTAGACACAATGGCTGACTTGGGGAGACAGTAAACTAAAACTTCATATATATTAACACCCAACACCAGAATCTGGGTGAAGCAGAGACACCCACAGCTGAGTCCTCAATCCATGAAAATGGCTTGTCAGGATTTCCCGTCTGCTTGTTTCTGTAGGCAGTACTAGCACAGGCCTCCCGAGTACTCATCTTCCTCCTCCTCGGCAGCTGTGCTGGCAGCACCATCAGGCTTGGCCTGGGGCGTTGCTGGTGATTTCTTCTTGATTCCCCCTCCTGGAACTACCAAGCTTAGGCCCAGCTTAGCATACTGTCAACAACAAAACATGTCATGAAAGCTGGAAAACTAGAATCCTGATACACAATGTCTTAGCATCAGTTAGCTAAAAAAGGATGGGGATGAGGGAGATGGCTTAGTGGTTAGAAGAACTTGATGCCCTTGCAGAGAACCTAAATTTGGTTTTCAAATCCATAGAGTGACTCACAACCACCTGTAACTCTAGTTCCAGATTCCACACTCTCTTCTGACTTCCATGTGGTGTACATGCATGCAGGTAAACACTCATATACACAAAAATAAAAACATCTTTTAAAGAGAGAAGTGCATGTGGTAAGGCCAGCAAGATGGCTCAGTGGACAAAAGTGTTTGCACAGTAGCTTGACAGCCTGAAGTTAATCCTCAGAACCCACATAAGGATGAAAGGAAAAGCAACTCCACAAAGTTGTCCTGACATCCACATGTATCCTCTGGCTCCTGTGCCCACACCCATTTCATGCATGCACAGAGTAATAAGTAACAGTTTTGAAAGACTAGAACCTAATCATTCATCATCAGAGAAATGCCCTGGCATTAGATCATGATGTAACCTGTTGACAGCTGTGGATGGATTATGCACCTAACTTGGGAACTGGCAATAACATGGACACACTCAATTAGCAATACCTCTTGTGGTTATGAAGGAAAAACCTACTGAGTAAATGAGAGAGTAAACTATACTCTCATTAAAAATTACAAATTTTGGAGCTGGGAGGACTCAATTAGTAAAGGCCTTACTTTCTAAGCATCAATGACCCAGGTTTGGTCTCCAGAATTCACATTTAAAAAGCTTGGCATGGAGCTGGAGAGATGGCTAAGTTGGTAAAGTGTCTACTATATAACCCAAGAGACCCAAACCCCATGCTCCACATCCACTTAAAACACAAACGTAATGACAAGAGCCTATACTCTCAGTATGGGAAGGCAGAAACAGGAGGATCCCTGAGGCTTGCTAGCCAGCCAGCTACCCACATCAGTGAGCTTCAGGTTCAGAACCTGTTCCCAAACAAGGTGGACAGCGCTGAGAAAGACACCATATATACATTACTATCTCACACACACACAGACACACACACACACACACAAACACCTTCAAAAGCATCTAAGAAACTTGGGAGAGTGCTGAACACCTGCACTCCTGGCACCCGGGAGGCTAAGGCAGGAAGACTAAGTTCAAGGACAGGTAGCACGATACAGCAGCGAGACCTTGACTCAAAAGCAAAAAAAAGAAAGTATGTGTAAGAAAAAAACTCTACCTCTGCAAGAAAATTCAAGGTCTTAAGTTACTTTGAGAGTATGACAGAACTCTAAAATTATGTGATCAGATAGTTACACAGAAGGATAAGGAGAAAGAATGGTTCAAACTGCAGCCTGCTCAAGTGTGATGCTTTTCCCACAGGAAGACCAGAGGGTTCTTCACAATAGTCCAGGAGACAAATTTAGCCCTTCCACTTTACAGATAAGGCTTGAAAATGATTAATTAATAACCTGTCCCATACATGAGATGCCCACGGGTCTTCAGAATTATAAAACCTTTATACAATGGGCCTCTTACAGGTAGGGAGCGTTACAGCAAATAGATAAACTATGAAACACAGAGGGCAGAAGACAAGGGAGGTGAGGGATGAGGCTGAATTTATAATATGCACGTGACCACACAGCTAGGAAGCAAGTAAGTGGTCATGAAAACAGATGGTAGAAACTCACATTACTTAAACGTGGGAAAGTTCAAATGAACTTTGTGAGGATAGTTTGATGTGGAAAATATAGGTATAGAGGTAGAAAGCTCACAAACTCACAGGGAGAAAATCACTTCAAGAGGAAGAAAGCTAACCCCAAAGACCCACTTACGTCATTGTCCATGTACTTGAAGAGCGGTGAGTTGCAGACCTCTGACACCTGATCTTGGTCTTGCTGGTCATAGCCCTCTAGGAGCTGCTCAAGCGCAGCACAGTCTTCACTGCCATTAAACCCTGGTATGCTGCGAAGGCACAGACCACACTTCAGCGCCTCCGTAAAGCTCCTCCACCAGGGATAAATGTCCCTGCAGAGAAGATCTGCAGCCATTCTGCTTGTTACAGCTGCTGGGGTGCTACTGGCAACCAGTGGGTGGAGACCAAGGATGCCACTAGGAACCGTACAGTGTACAAGACACTGTATTACCAATTACCAATACTCATTCACGACCCCACAGAAAATGCCTCAATCTCATTCGCAACTTATCATTCAGTAATTCTTCTGTTCTTGTCACTTAAGAGGAAAGTACCTCCAATCATTCAGAGACCCCTCAGAGACAGCTTGTAAGCCTGGTCTGTGACAGCTGAGTGGTAAAGACTGAGTGGGAGCTGGAGCTGGAGCCCCACAGTTCGTGTGTGCTAAGCACATACAAGTTTGGGGTCTATCCCCAACATTGCAAGAAAAAAGTAAGATCCAACACAGAACAAAACCCCTGCAATAGTCATCTTATCTCTTGGAAGATCTGTAAAAGAGTTCCATGGCGAAAACCAATATTTGTCTAAGTAGTGATGTGAATTCAATCAAAAGGAATGTCAACACTAGTCAGTGAAAACAGTCAAACCTTACCTGTAGCTCTCCCTGACACACCTCTCTGCAGCCACATAATCATTTCTATGTAGATGAACTAAGACCTGAGCAATTGTTTTCTGAAACGAGAGAGAAAGAAGGCTGTGATGTAAATGATACCTATTTCCAGTCACCTTCTTGGAGTATTGAAAACAAATGGAATTTAACTTTCAGGGCACTAGCTCATATAAGAGCAACACACATAGTTCTACAGTGACAGCCACAGGACGGCTGGGAGGAAACACGCTAGAGGATCATGTCTGATACAAATGGTGCGCAGAGCACACAGGGGCTTGGGAAGACTCAAGGTGGAGCAGTCCTGAACCGACATGCTCTAACCAGACCCAGATGACACTGACATTGCTGTCCTGAGGACAACCTTTTACCTCAAAGGCTGAGAATGCAGCCAGTGCAAGTTTACATAATTTCTTTCAAATATGTATATTCAATTAATGTTGAGAAGGGAATAAAAACAGAGAAGAGCTGTAACACTACAGTTATAGCTTAGAATGTTTAGACCCTAGGGAAAAGACTCTAGAGAAAACTCTGGATAACAGGGACAATGACACTGATTCTCTTAGAAGATCAAGGACACCACAGATAATACCTTACTGGGACTACAGTCTTCATAAAGCATTTTATTTTGTTAGTGGTGTTTTTGTTTTGTACTTTACTTCTTTTCAGTGATGTTGTTCAATGCTAGAGACAGGGCCTAAACATGCAGCCCAGGCTAGCCTTGAACTCATAATCCTCTGCCCTTAGCAGAACTAGGATTACAGACATAGGCTACCATGCCCGCCTATACAACACACCTAAATCACCCTTGTATATTCTCTCACTGATCCATCTTCAGTAACACTGAGTCTTAGTTGTGACGGTAAATACTGACTGTCTACTTGAGGGGATTCAGAATCACACAGAAGACAGGCTTTGCAGCAGTTTCCAGAGACTGCCCATGCTTGAGGAACTATCCTAATGAGGCTATGACAGGAAGACCTGCCCACTGTGGGGAACATTCTAAGGGCTTGGGTCCTAGACCCGCCCCCGCCACAAAAAAAAAAAAAAGGAAGGAAATAAAGGAAGGAAGGAAGGACGGAGGGAGGGAGGAAGAAGAAAGGAGGAAGGTGGGAGGAAGGTCTGTCATGGTCAGAAATAAGAGCATACATTACTATTTTATAAAAGCAGACAAATATCAAATCATAGCTTAAATACTATCTAAAGTAAAGCCAAACTAGACATTTTCAAAGAATACCTTATAACAAGTTGGATAGTTCTCAATTTCTTTATAAATATTTTTTTCTTTCTGAATAGACAGTGCAGCCTCATCAAACCTAAAGAGAAAAGAAAGAAAGGTCAACAGGGCAGGTGTGAAACCCTCAGCAGAAGCCATCGGTGTGCTAGCCTTATCACAGATTTAGGAAGACAGGATTTCCAACTGCCACCACAGCGCTGCCACCAGCTCTGCTCATCAGGCCCATCTCTCAAATGCCTGACTCCCCTCCGAGGAATCACAACAATGCAAAAGAAATGGAGGGCTGGGGCAAAGCCATTTTTCATTTGGTAAAAACCACCTTTACGAGTTTCTAACCACCTCGGCCAATGGCTCTGTAAAATTTGTCAGCAAATCCTCAGCTGCATCACCGGGGCTTCCTTCTTTCCACATGAACAAACTTCCAAGTGCCCTGACTGCTCTGTTACTCTGCCACGTGTCTCACCCTCTCAGGCTCCACCTCTGTTCGGTGGGTCCTAGTTGGTTAAGCCAGCTCTTCTGTAGACTTCAGCTTGCTGAAACCATGAGTAGAGAGATCTGGCCACAGAATCTGTGGGATGACGTGAGTGCTGCCTTAAGAAGCTGAGGCTGGGTTAATCTGCCACACAAGCAGGAAATTAACGAAAGGAGACCTCCAAGTGGGAACATCTCTCATAACTATGAACACAAGCTTAGCACAGATCTTGCTGTAGAGAATAAAACTACAGAATATTCTGTAAGCATAGGAACCAGACTATGGAAATCTCACTATTGGAAGCTTTCCACATCTTACAAACAAAATAGTATGTTTAAGTAAGAATGGTTAAACTTACATTGATTCATCCTACATCTCTGAACATATTTTAAATGTACTTTAGAATATGTAGTCTTCATGAAGGAAATCCAATTTCACCCTCAGAAAGGGGGTGACTGATTCAGTCTACTTCCTGAAAAAATACAGTAAAGGCTTTTACTGTTACTGCAGAGCTATGGGCAAGTTTAAACTAAGATACATGTCTCCTTTAAGCCATGATAAATGGACAAGTGGGGTGATTACTCCTTTAATAAGATGCTGTACTTCTTTTTCCCAGAATCCCCATACCCGAAGAAGTCCCTGCAAGTAGTTATGTAGTGTGACTTTCCCTTTCCCTTCTTCCTGTCTGTGGCCAGAACCCAGGTTCCCGATGCATTGGGCTTTCTTAAAGCCCCTCCTCCTGCCATGATTGTGGCAAGGCTCTTCGCCTTCTCACCTCTAGGCTGGCTGCTGCTGAGACTTAAAGGTTGCCTGCCCTGGGTCTTTTTCTTTTAAAACCTAATAATATTGGGCTTGAGCTTTAAGGGCGGGGGGTGTCTGCCTTGAACTATGACAACAAGGTTGACAAGCTTACGTGCATGGGGGAACCTCAAAGAGCCCTACTCCTAGATGATGAGCTACAGGCAACTGAAGTCTGCTGTGAGAGGAAGAACCGGGCCTCCTCAAGATGAGCCCCTACACGGTTATCCAATCCAGGCGCTCAGCTCTAAAAACAGATGCAAACAAGGAACACTAAATTCAGCAGGTGGTATTTATTGCCCCATGTGTGCATGCGTGAGTGTGTAAAACAATAATAATTAAAGAAAAACAGGCCATGAATTTGAGCCGGAGCAGGGGTGACACTGTGGAAGTGGATGGAGGAAGGAGAGGTAGTAGTAATTATATTTTAATTAAATAAAAAATTTCTTTTAAAAGTATTAAATATTACTAAATGAGAATGTGGTAAATAGAATTTATCAATAATCGAATTTATTTACCAGGCATAAATTAAGGTAAAGTAAAAACTAAGAAAAAGTTTGGTGGGAGTCCAGCTTTTCTGTCTCCAACTATTTGTGCCTTAATCCTGTGTTTTAAAAGATAAATACAGCCTTCCTTTCAGCCCATGTCCACTCATCTGCATCACCTGCTAACCTGCAGATACACTCTCTGCCAGGGGCCTCCAGTGGCAACACCTAGCACTTTACGACAGTTCCTCAGACTCTGCTTCTAGCCCATCTCCATTCTCTTCTAACACCTGAAACTCTCTCTACCAGAGACATTATAGTTACCATATCTAGCTGGGATCCAGGGTAGGGATAACAGTAACCAAAAAAAAAAAAAAGATCACTAACCCTCCCTTTGCCAACTACCTCCCCAAAACCCAAAACACTTTTAACATCTTAACTCTAATCTCAGCACAAAAATACGAATAAGAACAGCCAGGAAATTATGCCTCCCCCAGAAGCCAGCAACCCTATTGTAATAGGCCCTGAGAAAAAACAATTTCGCTGAAGCATGAGACAAGAATTTCAAAATAGCAATTATAAATCTATTCAAAGATCTTACGAAATGGTGTGAATAAATGCCTTAATAAAACTTCAATGAAATAATGAAAACATTTCAAGATATAAAAGTACAATTAAACAAAGAAATAGAATTACTAAAGAAAACCCAAACTAAAACAAAACTAGAAATTAAAAACTTAGGGTGGCAAACAATAAACTTAAGAGGTCAGCCTCACCAACAGATTACAAGATACAGAAAAGTCTTGAAGACAAGGTAAAAGCAAGGGATACCCCAGTCAAAGAAAATATCAAATCTTAAAATAGACACAAAACATCTAGGAAATCTGGGACACTATGAAAAGACCAAACCTACAAATAATAAAGATGGAAGAAGAAGAAAAATTCAGGCCAAAACCACAGAAAATATTTTTAACAAGATCATAGAAGAAAATTTTCCTAACCTAAAGAAGGAGGTGCCCATCAAAGTTCATAAAGCACACAGAACACCAAAAGACAAGGATCAAAAATGAAATTCTCCAAGACACATAATTAAAACACTAAACGTACAGAACAAAAAAGTGATTAAAAGCTGCATGAAAAAAGGTCAAGTCACATATGAAGGGAAACATATGTGATACGTTTATAAAAGTCAGATGTTTTCAACAGACTCTGAAAGCCAAAATGAATGACCTAAACAGGTGTTCTACAAGCTCTGAGAGATGCCAGCAAAATCATCAGTCATAACTGATGAAAAGAGAACAAATTCCATGGTAAGACAAAATTTAAGAAATTTCTATCTATTAATCCAGCTCTACAGAAGACACTAGAAAGAAAACTTCAGCCCGAAGAGGTGAACTGCACCCAAAAGGACACAGGAATAAATAATCCCAGTGCATCAACAGTCAAAACAATCAAACGGCGGGGGGGGGCACCAAAATAACAAAATAACAGGAACCAATAAACACTGCTCATTAATACGTCTCAATCTTAATGTTCTTAATTCCTCCATAGAAAGACACAACCTAACAGACTGGATTAAAGAATCAAGATTCATCTTTCTGCTGCATCCAAGAAACAGACCTTACACACCATCAAGAACAGATGTCACCTTAGGGTAAAAGGATGGGTTATTCCAAGCACATAGACCAAAGAATCAAGCAGGTGCAGCCATTTTAATATCTTCAAACCAACATTAACCTTCAGAAGAGAAGAGGCAGGAAAAGACACTACATACTGATCAAAGCAAAAATCTAAGAGGATATTATAATTCTAAACATTTTTACAACAAACACACAGGCACCCAAGCTCAGAAAAGAAATACTACTATAGCTAAAAGTCACATATTGACCCTTCCACAGTGATAGTGAGTGACTTCAATACCCAGCTCTCGCCAACAGACAGGTCATCCACACAAAAACCTAACAGAGAAACGCTGTAGTTAAATAACAACATATCAAATGGACTGAGCAGACATCTACAGAACATCACACCCAAACTCTAAAAAATTTTCTTTCTTTTCAGCAGTTCATGGAACTTTCTCCAAAACTGACCACATACCAGGACACAGCAAATCTGAAACAACACCCTGTCTATCTGACCACGACCACGGACTAAATTTGGACATCAATAACAATAGCAATAGAGGAAAGCATATAATCTTATGGGAATGGAACAACTCTCTACTGAATGAAAACTGGGTCAAGACAAATAAAAAAAAAAAAGATTATCCATTGTGATCAAGTTGGCTTCATCCCAGAGATGCAGGAATGACTCAACACACATAAATCGGTTAATGTAATCCACCCTCTAAATAAACTCAGTAAGACAAAAACTGTATGACTACCTCATTAGAGGAAGAAAAGAACTTCAACAAAATCCAATATCCTTTCATGATAAAAGTCCTGCAGAGAGTGGGGAGACAAGGAACATACCTCAACATAATAAAGATAATTTATAGCAACTCAAAGCATTTCCACTAAATTCAGGAACAAGACAAGGTTGTCCAATCTCTCCATACCAATTCAATGTGGTACTTGCTGTCTTAGCTAGAGCAATAAGACAACAAAGAAGATCAAGGGGATACAAACAGGAAAGGAAGAAGTGAAGGTATGTTAATTTGTAAATGATATGATTATATATATATATAAGAGACCCTAAAAACTCAACTAGAACTCTTTGACAGCAGATAACTACTCTCTAGCAAACAAAAATCAGTAGCTGTCCTATATACAAATCCTATTTGTCATATACAAATGACAAATATACTGAGCAAGAAATAAGGGAAACAGAACCTCTCACAATACACACACACAAACACCTTGGGGGAACTGTAACCCAACAAATGAAAAACCTGTATAATAAAAACCTTAAATGTTGAAGGAAGAAACTGAAGAAGACACCAGAAGAGAGAAAGCCCATGCCCCGTGCTCATGTATCAATAAGATTCATTTTATGAAAACAGCTATCCTATCAAAAGCAATCTATAGATTCAATGAAACCCCACCAAAATTCTAACATGATTCTTCACAGAAATTAAAAGAACCATCTTTAACTTCACATGAACACACACACACACACAAAACAAACAAGCAAAAACAGGACAGTTAAAACAATCCTTCATTATAAAAGTACTGCTGGAGGGATCACAATCTCAAATTGTACTATAGATCTATTGTAATAAAAACAGACATGATGGCTAATGGAATAAAATTGAAGACCCAGATATAAGTCTACACATCTATACACATTTGATTTTTGACCAAAAAAAAAAAAAAAAAAAATCAAAAGTACACACTGGTCCTGGTCCTGGTCAAAGTAGATGGCTGCATGTAGAAGACTCCAAGGAAACAGTGTGAATAGCATGGGCTCACAGAGACTGTGGCAGCACACATCCGATCTACACAGGCTCAAGCCAGACAGGGGCCCAACACGGAGAGGGCTAAGCAGATCGATTCCTATCCTTATTTGCAACAGATAGCCATTGGCACAGGGAGAATCGGTTCTCTTTACTGGTGCGTCACTGGGTGTATCAGCTACATTCCAGGGCGTCCATGCTCAGGAGCACTTCTGTTTTGTCTTGGCTTTTTTTTTTTCCGGGGGGGGGGGGGGGGGGGGGGGGGGGTTTTTTTGTTTTTTGGTTTTTTTTTTTTGGGGGGGGGGGGGGGGAAGGTAAGGGGAGGTCTAATTGGTCTTTGGCTTCTTTGTTTTTGTATTGGTTTGCTTTCAAAGTTAGGTGGTTAAGGAGGTGGACCGGTTCTAGTAGTTGGGGGAAAAATGACCAAAATATATTGTCACTTATTCCAAGAGAGAAACAAAAGTTGTGCAATGACAGGCCATGATAACCCCTCTTTCATGCCACTGAACTACTGTCTGGCAACAAAATAAAGCACAGTACATTTTGGCATTATGTGACAGAAAAGCAGGTTTTAAGTCCATGAGCCTACTCTTAAGAAGATGATCATTTCTTCCACTGGTTGTCCAGGTGTAAAGAAATCTGCTATATCCAATATGCCATATCCAATATGCTATAAGTCCAAATGGAGATTCAAATACACATGGTCCTACAGGCATACAGTTCTGGAAGCCATACCTTCGTCCTCGTACTAGCAGTCTGGAGGCCTTTCCTAGTAGTTCAACTGCCTGCCGGAGGCGTTCCTCATTCTGGAGGGATCAGAGAAAAGGGATTGTCAGCAATTACCATTCAATAATAACTGCATAAAGCAACGGCCATGGATGGCAGCACCAAAGCTGCTAGCCATTCACTAACGTCTAGAGTGGGGGTTCTCAACCTTCCTAATACTGCAGCCCCTAAAAACAGCTCATGTTGTGGTGACCCCCAACCATAGCATTATTTTCATTGCTATGCCTTCCTAACTGTACTTTTGCTGTTAGTAACTGCAATGTAACTGTGTCTTCTGATGAACTCAGGGGACTCCTGTGAAAGGGTTGCTAGGCCCCCAAAGGGGTCACAACCCACAGGTTGAGAATCACTGCTCTAGAAGAAAAAGGAAATAGAGTGGGGCTGTGAACACAGGAAAACCTTAGAAAGCATCCATTGCACTTTTCTGAGTAATGAAGAAACAAGTAAACAAGTAAACTTCTCACTTACTTCAAACACATTCGCTGTCTGCTGATACAACTGCACAGCCTTCTCTGGATCTACATTTTCTATGAGCCTGAATTAGACAGAGAATACAACTTGTATGAAAGTTAAGAAACTTGCTTGTCAAAGGACTTTACCAGACAAAAGAGGAGTCTTCCACAAACCAGTGCAGCCACAACAGCCACGTCCACTCACTTTCCAGCTCGCTCCAAGGCCATGGCTGCTGTATCAGGGGTGCCGTTCTCCAGATACATCATGCTGGCTTTCTCAATCAACTGGACAGCTTCAGGCAGTTTCTGCATCTCCTTCAGGAAAAGCAAGCAGCGCAGGGCAGAAAATGTCTCAACTTAAGAAATGGAGTTCTAACAATTGGAAATTCAATGATTTTACCCACATACAATATTTTTTTTTAGACAGGGTCTGCATTAGTCACTTGGAACTTACTGCGTAGCCTCACACTCAGTGCAAGCCTCCTGACTTAGCCTCCCAAGCACTGGGGTTCTTAGTCATGAAGCACCACACTTCAGCTTATCTCACTTTTTATAATAATGTCAAAAATATTAAATGGCAACAAACATATTGAAACAGTTTCACACAGTTATACTATAATTGTAAGGCTAATTTAACAACAAAAAAAAATCTATCAGTGTTTCTAAATCACATGCTTTCACAAAAGTTCTGTTTCACGGCTTCCTTAAAATGGCCACAGTTAACAACAGGCTTCAGTCCCATATTGCAATAACAAGCCAGGTCCAAGCAGCAGCTGTGTCTAAAGAGGGTATGTGACCTCCTAAAGCTAGCCACACCTCTCTCCTTAGCCTGTTCCACTCCTTGGACAGCTGGCTGTCTCCCTCACCTCGTTTACTCTCTGAGGCTCTGAGTTAAGAGAACCTTGGAGCTCTCTTCTTGGCTGATTATAATCAACAGAATCAATTTTGTGTCTCACTAGCACTATGTGTGTCTTAGCATCTTGGGGTCCTAGATTTTCCAAGTCAAAAACTAAAGATATTTTAATGAAAGAAGTGAAAAGGGAATCACTGCAGAGCTGGCTGTGAAGGTGCAGGGACTTTCACTTACAGGAAACTAACTTCCTGTATCTCCCAGTAAGGTCCACAGTGGCCTCGAAGGGCCTGCTCTTAAATCCAAACGCCAGTTCCTCACCACGCTGAGAATTTGTTAGGTTACGTCTAATGAACTGCCAGCCTCACTCCTACCAATGCCAAAACAGCATTCAAAAAGTTATTTAGCTATGGAGATGAGGCCTAAGACTGAAAGATACTACATAAAGTTGTTATGTTCAGTCACACGAGATGAAATAGCCCTGTACCTTAGCAGAAAAAAAAAGTTTTAAAATAACAAAAAGAAATGAAACAAAACAAGAAAACCAAAATCCAATCAAAGAATCCAAGGGCTTGGAACAGTATACACAAAAAGGCATTTGAGAGAACAGACGGTATAAAGCTAACAAATCTGCTTCTTCCTGTAACTCACCTACCTGCTTACTAAACACACAGCAGCCTTTAATATGGCAGTGGGGAGGGAAAAGAACAGGGCATACACAGAGGCAGAGTTAGGTAGGGGCCATCTGAGAGTTAGATGGAAAAGTCAACTAAAAGCTCAGAATATATGTTTTAGGCTCAGCTCTAGAGAGGTGAGGCAGACACATACCGGAAACTACTGGTCGTCTAGCCTAATCAGCAAGCATCAGGCCAGTGACTCTGTCTCAAAAAACAAGGTGGATGAACCCTGATGAAAGTCCAGGCTGAGCTTTGACTTCCACAGCAACCATACATATGTGTATATGTAGACACACGAATGTGCGCATGCACACACACATACAGCACCCCATCTCACTACAACAAAAAGTAACCCCTAACCTGCTCTCAAGAAGGATAAATGTAGCATATCAGTCAAAATATTCCATTATTCCACTCAAAAGGAATAAGGTAACACACCAAAAGCTAGTTTGCAACTCTCTGGACTTAAGCCTGACATTCCTAAAACCAAAAAAGTTATAAAGCTAATTTTCCTTTCCACAGTCCACAAGGAATGTAAACAAACAACACATACATCATTGTGAAGTTTTACTACACCCAGATGCCCCCAGTTCTCAGTGGAGGGAGCCTCTGTCCTGGCTGCAGTGCTCAAAGCCTTGCTCTTCCCAGCTCCCTACACTACATCTGGCACTTTCAATACTCTATTTTAACTGCCATAGGCTGCTCACCCGGGTCCCGTTACTGCTGCCCTGGGCAGAGCGTCTTAACGTAGCTTCACTTCACTCCCACAACCCCAGCCCCTCTGCTTTACACTGCGAAGAAACTTGTCAACTGCAACATGAACTCTACCTTGACAGCTTGCTTATTCCCTCTACCTCCGCAGCTGTTTTGATACAGTATTACTAACCTTTAGCATCATGCCAGCTTGCTCATAAGCTCTGCAAAGAGAATACAATTTCTCTGATGAGACCTCAGTGAAGTAAGAGAGAAAAACCTTCTGGTCAAGATGGTAGATATGGAAGTGACCAACAGAAGGGACCGCAAGCACAGCGTGTCACACCAGGCGCACGGCCACACTGTAGTTTCACGCTTTTTATTTATTTACTTTTTAGGGCAATGATACCTAAAAGCACCAAAAACTGAATTGACTTTTCTTCACAAAATTAAGTCAGTCTCCAAAAGTTAATTAAGTAAGTGATAAACTGAAATCTAAGTTTTAAAGCAAACCAACATGCTCTCAAAAAGGAGATGTGTCTTCTACAGGAACTTAACCATCAAAAAAAAGAAAAGTGATTTCCAAGTCACCCGTGTCTTCACAGGCAAAATATTATGAAGAATTTAATTTAAAAATCTTATAATTAGGAGACATGTGGCCTTTAACATTCAGCTGATGATTAAAGCAAATGAAAAGTTATTTTAATTAATATGAGCTTTTAAAAATGCATAGCTTGATCAAAAGTTCTCAGCACAGAGCAACACACCAACTTTCAAAACATCTGCAAACACATAAAAAGTGTGAAAATATTACTTACTTGGCAGCATGAAAAAGACTGAATGGATATAACGATGTCAACATTAAGGAAAAAAAAAGAAGAAATCAATGATCTCCAGAGATCTACTTTCCAAAGGCAGTTAACTAAGTCACTGGTCCATCTGGTTTCAAGGGACAAATCCTACAAGTAAAGGAGTGACACCCCAGTGCTGCTGATGGATTCTATGACCTAAACATTGACAAAACGCTGTGCAGCCTTTTAGCTGCTGTACATCAACAGGATGAACAGCAAGAGTGTCACAACTGATTTGCACATGACATAAAATGGACATTAATAAATGACAGCCTTTAAAATACAGTAAGAACATTTCTTTCTAGAATGCTTATAAAACGTCAAATGCCAAGAAAGACTAATGTAATTTCTTCCCAAAGCAGCTTATGCATTTTCAGTAGCTGCACTTTCACCCTCTTTTCAGCACATGTCTGGAGACCTCCCTCACTTCATCTCTTGTTGAATCCCTGTCAACAAGGCCAGGAGCAGGAGAAAATAACAGGCTCGCATGGCTGCCTGCACCAACATGCGCTCAGGGCCACTCACGGAATATCCCATGGGCTTTAAAGCTTACAACTGCTCATCCTATTCTAACTGCAAAGCGCTTTCCTTCAAACACTAAATTTCTAACAGGAAAAAGGTGTCATCAAAATTTAGTTGTTCCCTTTCTTTTTAAAGCTAAAAAAGATACGCCCTGTTATTTTCATGGGCAACAGCTTCCCGTAGGCAGGCATCTTTTGCTTGCTCAAATTGTTTGGCATTTTTAAAAGCAACAGCTGAAACAGAAAAAGAAAAAAAAAAATAGGTTTTCTAGTTCAATCATTAACAGCCCTAAAACGAATCATTACCCAAATCAGCATTGTATATGAAATATTACAAAATACACTGATTTCAAATAGGAGGTTTCATAAAAGTGTGAAATATTACTTTTACCAAAAGCCAAGTCACAATATTTCTGAGTACACTTTTAGAAGCCTGTTAAACTTTTAGCTGTTGTTTTTTAGCAAAACATTGGTGCTGCTTCCACTGAATACTCAGAGCTCCTTCCAGCACCATTCCCAAATGCTCCTGAGAAGAGGGGGTGCGGGGATGGGGTGTGTCTAGTCACCATAGAAAGCATCTCACTCTGCAGCTTTTCTCCTTCTGTCCAGTTCACTGCATTACTGACAAACTGAAGACCAACTGACACATTAGTTGTGCAATCAATCTTCCCTTTGGGCACCATCATTAAGCACTGAGTCATTTTTGAAACAGCTTTTTTTTCCTAAGCCGTCTACACTGCTCAAAGAGCTAACCCTCACTGCAGGCCGTTTCACATGGAGGTGCTCACGAGAATGGCCCTGAAAGACAATATTAAAATTTTGGAAAATTCACCAGAGGTGCACTATGAAAAAGTAAGAAGCACACTGATTTAAGAAGACTCTTGTCTTTTGTTTGTTTTGTCATTCTGAGGTCTCCTCCACACATGGAACGCCCACTGGCTGGGAACTCAACACGGCATAAACTGACCTCTGACTTGAGCGGATCCTCCTGCCTCAGCCTCTCTTCTTGAAAAAGTGTTCTCAACTATGATTCCTTAAAAACATACTCTAAAATACTCTTTAAGCAAGTGTTGAAAACAAACAAAATATTGAAACTATTCCTATCCCTGCTTATCCCTAATCATATTTTAAAAATTCCATCACATGGCTATATTCTGCAAATACTCTTAAGGGAAATAAACAAAGGGCACTTTAATACGAGACTTGATTCCGAATATTCATTTCTGGAAGTAGCACAGAATGCTGGGGGCATAAAGCAAAGCTGTTAAATTTCATTCATAGAGGGAACTTGAAAAATGTACCTTTGATTTTAAAACATACTGTAGAAGGTAACCCCTAAAATCCACATAAAGCTTAATTTTAAATAAAATTATATTTAAATACAAGATATAAGCAATTTGCATAATATAAGAAACAAGACTTACTCAATATTTAAATACAGGCTACAGACTCTTTGTCTTCCTTTTGAAGAGGAAATTAACCCTCTCTGTATAATAATGGCAGTGTCAAGGTTTATTTTCTTTGGAGATAAACTGAAATTAAAATTTGGTGAAAAGTGCTTGCTCTAGTTGACCTCAAAACCAGCCTCACTAACAAAGTCACAGATAAACACATGTTTGAGGAAGGTCAAATCTGTGGTGTTTCAAATTCTTATTGTGCACAGGGAAGTCAGAGACAAGCTGTGGAACACTGATCTGGGCACCAAATGTAAGTCATCAGGCAGCAAACTCGTTCACTGTGAGTCACCTCACCAGCTTCAAAAGTATGTTTTATTACTTCATACCCAAAATGTTTAATGAAACATTAATTTTTTAACAAATTCCCTTTGTTGCATATTTTATACTTATATAAGGTGAATTTACTAAAATGTGCCTAGCTTGTAACCCTTCATGAACATTTAATAGTGTATCTCAAAAAGCTCAAAGCTTAATGCTTATTAACTGCGGGAAAACACACGATTTGCAGATCTCCTTCAAATGACACTAGTTTTAAAAATTAATTTAAAGAAAACTTTGGATTCAACAGCAGAAAGTCCAAGAGAGAAACAAGCAACACTTCTGGATACCCATGAATGTGCTAACAGCTGGACTGCTGACATCACCCCACGTCTGCTGGCAAGAGCATGGATGGGGTCAGACCCAGCACTGACCCCAGGTGAAAAGGGTAAGTCTAGTGTCATGCAAAGGCCTGTGCAGTTGCTCTGCTCTGCTTTTCTGTCTTAACTGGCGAAGTCTGGCTGGAAGCATTGAAATTATTATGCTAAGCCAAAGTTGTAAGATGAAGTTAATAACACACACAACAGCAACAGGACTCTAGTCACAAATACCTGCTTTTCCATATTCAGAAGCAGCACTGTCATAGTCCGGCTTCCATTTTAAAAAACCAGTCTTCAGGCTAGGAAAAAGAAAAAAAAGACATTTCTTATTAAAAAGACAGCATCAGGCACAGGTCTCTACTGTCTCAACTCTATCTAGACCTTTTCACAATAAATGTACCCCTACTTCCTCCATTCCTGCTCCAACACAAATGTAGTTTTCCTTCGTCTCAAATGTCTACATACCATCCAAACAGTACATGCCCAGTCCCCAGACAGTAGCAACTAGCAAATGAAAATTTGCTAGAATGTACAATGATTCCATTCCAGATCAACAAAACCAGAAATTCTCTGGGGTTTAACAAGCCAGCAAGCTTGAGACCCTGGAAGTACACCTTCCTTTGCAGCTGAGAGGCTGCCAGAGAGAGTACAACTACAGAGCCATGAGCATCTGCTATGCATGGGTCACAGAGAGCATCCCCTGAGAAGACAGCAGGAACTACGAGAACAACATTCAGAGAAAAAAACAAAAGGAGCAAATCAAAGGCTGATAGTCACCACTGAACAGGAGAAAGAGAAGTAATGGATTAGGACAACAAAGAGAAACGGTCTTCCAGAACTGGTGCTGGCTTAGAAGCCAGAGCAAAAGATAGTCAGTACTGTTTATCATTCTTGCCCTTTCTGCAGTATTTTGTTTTTATTTTAAAAAACAATTACAAACCCACAGTTCATGCTAATTCAGTAGGTATCAAACTTGTGTGTACATAAAAAATTGCTGAATGCCATCTCACATTATAAATTTCAACTCAATTAGTGAAAGCCTGCTTACACACAACACTGATAACTTCAGATCAATCCAGGAGCTACTTAGCTAGAAGCGGGGGTGGAGGAAGTACGCACTTAATTCCATGACACTAACTCTGAAGTTACTTTTCCCTGTAAAATATATTTAGTATACTTAATGTCTAACATACACATATATACTGTAACCAAATTTAAATGTGTAAGTGGATTTTCAAGTTTCTGAAGAATTTTATCTCTCAGAAAAATAAAATCCTCCAATTACATGAAATGTCTAATCCATAAAATTGGGAAAATGCGTAGCAAAACAAAGTTCCAACTCTTTGCCCCTTCACCACAACACCCACTACACCCTGTATTAGTGTAATTACAAACGGCTCATACAAAACAAGATATACTCAGTCAACATGCTGGAGAGATTTTTTTTTTTTAACTGCAGATTAACTGCAAGAGGTTGAGCACCATTAGTACGAACGAAGGCCCTACGGATGTCACTTTGAGGGCGAACCTGTTATGGACCTTGACAACTTTCCTAACACATAAGAAAGTGATAATGATCGATATCACCATCAGAAAAAAGAGAAGAATCCAATTGCCACTCCTATACTTCTGGCCCATTTCTCCTGCTAGCCACTGGCTCTTCTACCTAGAGCAACTTCAAACACCCTTCAGACCTGAATCCAACACATCCCCAGCCACAAGCATGTCTATCTTGACAGAAGGCCTCTCCCGCAATTCTTCTCCCAGCAGAGACGCCAACCCTCAGCTCTACACACAGCTACCTTAAGGACCTGTCAAAGCTATTACAGAAAGGATACGAATCCTGGCTATTAGTTCCCTTCACTCGGACGATCAGTTCGTCCTGAAGTTCCCATAACAGCTGAGCAGCCTTGGACAGGACTCCAGGAAGTTTCCTGCCGCCTTGGTTCCTCTTTGGTAAACTGGGGCCTTCTATTGGAAAGCTGCTAAGATCTTAGTATATGATTCACCTAACAGCGTGCTAAGACATTTCTTTCGGTCGCTGATCGCTAATATGTATGTTGTAATTCACAAAAATCGGAGAGAGGGCCATGTTGGTGTCAAACGATTAAGGAGAATTTGCAGTTTTCAGCACAGCTTGGTGCCTACTGCGCCCGGAACCAGATGGTGGCAGAACACCCACAAGACTAAGAAAGCTTAGACCTTGCCCCTCCAGGGAATAGGATATCCGAGGGTAAGACTTTGCAGAATTAGTCTACAACCCCGCACGGCATCAGGGTGTCTGTCCTAGCTGTGGATCTCCGCCGGGCGATTCCATCCATGGGATCACTTCTAGCTGTCATCAAGAGGAGACGTGTCAACCCCTGAGCCCCCGACTACTCTAGGACCAGCAGAGCCGCCGCCTGTCCTGGGGACCGGATGCCGGGTAGATGTGGATGTGACAGGGGCATCTGCAGCAAATGCCAAGGCACAGGCCCGCACCAACAGCAGGGGGATGACCCAGACGGCACCGCCCGGGCCCGGACAGTTCACGGCCCTCCCTCCTGATCCGCCCGCGCACGGCCGAGAGTCACCAGCCCGCGGCGACTCCACGTACTACTTCTCTGCCTTGGCCAGATGCTCCAGGCCCTCGTTTATCTTCTGGGCTGCCATTGCCTCGCTCGCTTGCTGATGCAAAGAGTGAGGCCACCCAGAGCACCGCAAAACACCGGGAGCGTCGGCGTGGGAACGCCGCGGAGGAAGCCGGGAAAGATGCCTACGGGAAGCGAAGAGCTCAAACTTCTGCCGCAAAGCTGCCCCGGAAATCGGTGAAATAAGGGGGCGGGGCTGCGGGAGGCAGGCCTCTCGCCAGCGCAGTGCTGCGAAGCTCTGTTGAAGCTTTAACTCAGGTGTGGCCGGGTATTTACAGGAGTGCTTTCTTTCATGCGTTGGTTTCCTCTCTCTACAAATATTTAAGGAGCAACTAATGTATATTGGGTACTGGTCTTGACTGGTCATGGAAAACAGAGAAACACTCCTCCTTCGCGGGAGCCCGGCTTCGTCACTCCGTGAAAATGCTGTAGATCCCCTTTGCCTATTTGGCCTTGCATTTTATTGCAGTATCTCTGCGCTCCATCTATAAATAGTGTTTATTCATCATCTTTTATGATTTTCTTCTTTTATTTTATAAGGCAGGGTCTCGCTGTGTTTCTTCCTACCTCCACTTTCCAGTACTGGAACACTACGTGTGAGAGCTTACGATTACTTGTTCTAGTTACTGTCAGTCATGAAAACAGATTGGAATCCTTGATTTCTGTCAAATAATACTTATAATATTTCAAATTGATGGTGAGGAGCCCACGCAATGGTCTGATAGAGGAGACGGATGGTAGTTTCAGCATGAGATCGTGGTACATATTCTCTCGGTTTTTCATCTGTAAGATCTTTTCTTACATCCAGCTCAGCCACTGAGACGGCGAATAAGTATCTCCTAAAAGGACACTCGTGAAAGGTTTGTTCCCCAACCTCTAGTCCTATTAGAACTGGTGGAATCTTCGTGAGGCATGATGGAAGTAAAATAATTCATGGCAGGCCTTTTATGTCCTTGAATGGTATAAAAGGACCCCAGCTCATCTTCCATCTTTCCATCTCTGGCCTCCGTGGGATGAGCTGCTTTGTTCCAACCATGTTTCTACAGCTTGCCTCATAAGCTGAAAAGCAAGGGGCGAAGCCTCCGTAGACTGAAATCATGAAGAAAAAACATAGTTCCTCCACATAAATTAATAATCTGGAATATTTGTAACACTAACAGAAACCTCTTGGTCTTTGACAGATTCTTCCTATTTTCCTATCCCCTGCCCTTTCTTAACACCATCTTTTCCTAGCATAAATTCTGTGCTCCATCACATAGTCACTCTTTTGCACATAGTCTTGGACTCTTTCTCCATCTTTCCTCCTACCCTTAAAGGAAAAGAAAAAAAAATACAAAAACATTCCCCCCTCTTGTAGACATGCTCTTGAGTGAGGGCACATGGCTGGAGGAAACAAACCGGCATTACTCGTTCTAGTGCCTGTAAACCTGAAGCAGACCTTCCAGGGTCACTGAGCAAAGATGCTACATTCCTCCCAGTCAAATGACCGGCCCCACTCACAAAAGTGTGGGAAACTCTTCACACTTTTCAAATTCCAGCACACTCTTTGTGCTTGAATACCAACTACTACTTCCTGTTTAAAAAGTAATAATAGTCAGAAGAGCTTTTCCAAATAGCCTCAGCGCTCTATGTAGCAGTTAGCCAGGATTTACTGAAATTTCTCTAAACAGTAACTGCCAAACTGACCTAAGATCTTGTGATTTGATGAAAATGGCCCCAATAGGTTCATACGTTTGAACGCTTAGTCCTCACTTAGTGGAACGGTTTGGAAAGGATCAGAAGGCATGGCATTGTTGAAGGAGAAGTGGCCTTATTGAAGGGGTGTGGCCTGGTTGGAGAAGGTGTGTCACTGGGGGTGGGCATTGAGGTTTCAAAAGCCCAGGCCAGACCAAGTCTCTTTCTCCTTGCCTGCTGCCTGCAGATGAAGATGTAGCTGTCAGCAATTTCTCCAGGGTCATGCCTGCCTTCCTGGTGCCTTGTTCCTCACCATGATGATGGAGTAAGCCTCTGGAGTAGCCCTCTGAAATGTTAATCAATTAAGTGCTTTCTTCTATATGTTGCTTTGGTCATGGTGTCTCTTCATAGCAATAATATGGTAACTAAGACAGGTCTCTTGTGTGCAAGTTTCTACTTCTTTTCAGTCGGTATTATGCTGCCTGCAGTTGTAGACACCTCTGCATTTGATTATGTAGCCTTACCATCTAGGTATGAGATCCCTTCTTTGTTTGATTATCTAGCCTTATGTATGGTTTAAAAAATACATGTGCATAGGCAAATATATAATATATGCAAATGTATATATATGTATATATATATATGGTTATGAAGAAATATCTTCCATGAAACCTCATGTGTTGGGGGGGTTAATCCATGGGTGGTAACATTGTGGATGGATCTGGAAACTTTAAGAGATGGGTAGGGTCATTATGGGCTATCTCTTGACATGCTCTCCCTCCACTTCCTGGCCATCAAAGACTTAACAACCCCCTTCTCCACAGGCTCCTGTCACTGTAATGTTATCCCTCACCATGGACCCTGAATAAACAGCTCTAGCATCTGTCCATGAAACTGTGAGCCCAAATAAATCTCTCCTCTTTTAAATTGTTTATGTCAGGTATTTTGTCTCTGTGACAGCTATATGTTTCCTTATATTACGAGGCATCCCCAGAGGGGGAAAGTATTAACTAAAGGTTTCATGAGGCTTAGGCTCTGGGTCCAAGTGACCCTTGTTTCTGACACATTTTATCAATCTAAAAGTGTTAGAGTCCGGAGGAAGCTGCACAAACCTCTGAGACATCAATCTCAGTTAGATATGGATGGTTTATTGGATGCAACATCCCAAGACTGATCATGGTCAGGAACACAGAGGGGACTCAGGAGCCAAACTGTGACATTGTGTGTTTTTCAGAGTTAGCTTATAAAGACAAAACCACAATTAGCCCACATGGGGGGGGGATAGGATAGTTACCTTTGACTTAAGTTATTTTTGCTAACTAGACAAAGCAGCTCTAGCTGACCTTTAATTTGATTGGTCCCAAGTGGAGTTTATAGTTAGGGCCAGCTGCACTGATGGTTGGAGAATCTCTAGGAGTAGCAAGGCCACAGAGTCTGCTGAACATAAACATAGGTTTGGTCAACCTGACCTTGCACAGAGAGCTTTTCCCTCTAACAGCAACAAGCTGAGATGACGTGGCTGGTAGGCCTGAAATAAAAATGGCTGTAGTTATGCTACCCAAAAGGAGCAGGCCTCAACACAAAGCAAGGGGTAGGGAGATTAAAAATGCTGCACAATATTTTGTCCCTGGCCTCTGACTCATCGCAGCTCTGGGATGAATAGTTGCAAGAGGATTGTCACTGATGGTTTAGATCTGTGGTGCCACCAGGGCCTGTGAGGTGAAGGCTTGGTCCTCACATCAGTTAAGAGGAGATAGGACCTTTAGGTTGTGAGGGCTAGGGAAAGCCTGGCAATTATGGAAGGATGCTCTCCAGGAAAATAGTGGGATCCCATATCCTCTTTTATTTTTCTTACATGCTATGGAGTTAATGGGCTTCTGGACCATGTGCAATGGTCACAGTTTGCCAACACAGGCCCAAAGGAAAGGGGTCTGCTTGACTACAGACTGAAGCCTAGCAGATCTGTCAGTCGAAAGAAACCTAAACTCTTTTAAAGCGGAGTGTCTGGAGTATTTTGTTAGTCACAGCGAGCTGACTGACACATACTGTTAGACTTGTGCCCCTCATAAGCCTGAGTGATAGACATTTTCTCCCCAAGTTAATGTTAACGGATGGAGGAATGGTTAGGGAGGTGAGTGAGGTCAAATGAGGTCATGATGGTTGGGTGCTTATTATGCTATTCATGGTTTTATAAGGAGACAAAGGCACGGAGCTAACTAACATGCCTGCCCTGTCTCTCCATCTGCCATGTTATGGTTCAACAGAAAATACTCACCAGATGCTGGCCATATGATCTTGGATATCCTAATCTTCAAAATCACGAGTGAAATGAATTTATGTTCTTTATAATTTACATGATCCACAGGTATTTTGTTGTAACCACAAAAACACATGGATTAAGACAAAGGTCTTACAATACAAGGCTGTAGAGTCTAGGTGTTTTCTAAAGAATATATAGCCTCCTTCCTATTTTCTCTTATTTGTCCTTTTTAATTAAAAATGTTTATTTTATTATTTCACATATATGGGTGTTTTGCCTGCATGTGTGTTTGTTCATGTAGTACCCGTGGAGGCCAGAAGAGGGCATCAGATTCCCAGGGAACAGATAATTGTAAGCTGCCTTGGGGCCATCAAACCTGGGCTCTTTAGAAGAACAGCCAATGCTCTTAACCACTGAGCTGTCTCTCCAGCCCCTTTGCACATTTTAAATTAATTACTTATTATTCCTTGACTCTGCCAAAAACATTACTCTGTGCTCCTGGGACAAAATTGTTATGCAAGGTATGGGGCGCCTGCCCTTATGGGATCTGTGACCTGTGAGGGGCGCAATATTCATCACTTATATTTCAGCATCACCAAATAAGGAGTGAAAAAGAGAAAAACAGCCATGACAACCATTGCGTTATTTGTTTCAAGAGATAACCCCTTGGTTAGGGAAACTTGATTAGCTATCTAATAACTCTCACTCACCATCGAAGAGAGAAAGAGACAGCATGAAGACACTAGAAAATATCCCACTTTCTTTCTCCATTTTCTTCTCAGAATAACAAGGCAGGCGATGATCAAGGAGAACTAAGCCACTGTTCTGAAAATCCCTTCAAGGAAAAGTGTAGGGGAGAGACAGATGGTAGTGGCAGGCCATCTGGTGGCCGAGGAGACAGAGAAGCGGTTGACCTTGAGGGAGTATAAACAGTGTGAGAGTAAAGTGAAACAATTATACAAACCTGGCGAGCAGTGAAGGCTGGAGTGACCATCAGCCCATGTGGGTGGGACCAAAGGGAGCGGGCATAGATGAGAAATGGATTCCAGAGCTGGAGTGGACATTCTTCTGCAGAAAGACATTCTCCAAATTCACCTGAGATTCAGGGATTACTTTTTAACCAACGCCACCATCGATACTTTGTTAACGATTTATAAAAA